ACTAGAGAAAACTTGGTCAGAAATACACATCATAAGTATATAAAATCCTTTAATTTTTTCTCCTGATAATCTCCTCTTTGGTGTTCAGCTCAGGTCTCAGTACAATAATGTAGCACTTAGGAGAAAAGATACAAACCAGCAAACCAGCACTGGAGGCCAAGATTGAGAAGATCTCCACAGCTACCATGTATTTCCCTTTGCTGCTGAGATAGGTTGGAACAAAGGATACCCACACACTGCAAAACAACAGCATACTGAAGGTGATGAACTTGGCTTCATTAAAACTGTCAGGTAGTTTCCTAGCAAGGAAAGCTACAACCAGAGTGATAATGGAGAGAAATCCCATGTAGCCTAAGACAATATAAAACATGGTGACAGAGCCTTCATTACACTCTGCCACGATCTCTTCATCAAGTGACTGCATATCAAAATGTGGGAAAGGGGGTGTGGTTTCTAACCACACTGTACAAATGCCTGTTTGAAGAAGAGAGCAGAAAAGGATCGTGAAAGTGGTCAGTCTTTTCCCCACCCATTTTCTCATGTTGGACCCTGGTTTTGTAGCCATGAAAGCTCCAATCACAGTGATGGTCTTGGCCAAAACACAAGAAACAGCCACTGAGAAAATAATACCAAAAGCAGATTGTCTAAACAAGCAGGTTAACTTTCTAGGGGGTCCAAGAAAGAAAAAAGTGCACAGAAAGCAGAGCAGAAGTGATATGAGGAGAATGTAGGTGATATCCCTGTTGTTGGCTTTGACTATGGGAGTATTTCTGTGTTTAATGAAAATTCCTAGCACCCAAACTGTGACCAGGGAAAAAGAAACAGCCACTGAAGCCAAGCTAATCCCCAAAGGTTCTTCAACAGATAGGAAGGTTATAACTTTGGGGACACATCCATCTTGGTCCTTGCTTGGATACTGATATTCTGGGCATCTGATGCAATCTTCCATGTCTGGAGAAAAAAAAGGAATAAAAGGAATTAAAAAAGGAATAAGGAATAAGGAAAAAGGAATAAAAAAGGAATAAAAAAGGAATAAAAGGGGAAAAAAGGGAAAAAAGGGAAACTCAGTATCACCTTTGGTGTAGGGTGTATGTGGGATATGTTATTCAGGAGAAATATTTCCCTTTAATTATGTGTATAGAGGGCCGATGTAAAATTTCCAGTAATTTTGAAGTCCTGGAAAAAATGTGGTGTTTTTTTTACTGAGGGAAAAGAAATCTTAAATATTTGGGCATACATTGAAATGTACACAATACTCCCCCCCCTCAAACCTAAACTCAGTTTTGTGTTTTAACATCATTTGCAAATTAATTAGCATATTAATTTTTTAAAAGTAAAAGTACAAATATTCTCATTTTCGGTAAGAAAAATTGCAGATATACACAATACACACAATATATGAGAAATAACTAAAACTTCTTCACCCTATGGTATTCACATTTAAACAATAAACAATAAATGGCAGAGATGTTCCACCAGGCTTTTGGTTGAGGACAGCAATAATTACCATCATGGCTGGCACCCTCTTCTGCTGTTTATACTCACCCTTCCCCTCCCCCCACCCACAAAGTAGTCAGCAGTTTGAAATTAGAAATAATTGGTACTCTCCATCTGAATCTTTTAGATTAGTAGTATTAATGTTATTTAGATGTTCTATATGATATTTGAGTGTTTTTATCTTTATTGTACATCACCCAGAGTCCTTCAGTAGCAGGCATAAGGTGATCCATAAGTCCAATAAAATACAAATGCTAATAAATGGATTCTTGGAAATGCATTGTATATGTTGATAGGAATTATCAGTATCTCAATGAAGTGAGCCATGACCCTTGGTTAGGAAGACCTTGTCAAGACTGTCAATGATAGGATATTTTATAGATCATTAATTCAGAGGATCACCATAATTCAGAAGTGACATGACAGCACTCAACATACAAATGCTGACACAGTTTTACACAGACTTTTGTGCTACACTTTTTGAGTAAACTTGTTATCTATCCAAGGCTTTTTTATCTGCCCTGTGATATGCAAAACTCAGAGAATACAAAGCTGAAGTCTCACAGTGACTTACCTGCTAAGCATTTCATGTATAAGGTCACAAGTATCTATAAGGATTTGGACATCACCTACCCTTCTTATCTGAAATCATCCCTTTGGGACATGGAATGCAATCGTAGCAGCAAAATTTCTGCCCTTCCTTCTTTTTCTTCTGAGAACCTGGCATGCAGTAGTCATTGCACACAGAAAGGGGTAGCACCTGTTTCCAAATAAAATTGGTTTGGGATAGGAGACATGTGATAATTATTTTATTGCTCATTATATGACACAACATTAAAACAAAGAGCATTAAAATAAGGTAATTGTATTTGTGTGTACAATGATTTCAACACTTTGCAGACATGGCATAGGTAATGATGATGATGATGCATTCCCATTCTGTGATGGAGAATGTTGTGGGATGAACTTGACTATTGGGTCCAGGACTTCATCCCCATGAAGAATTTTTACACAGTTCCCAAATCCTAATCAAGGCATACACAATGTTTCACATGGGTTCACATACATGGCACACATAGAAATAGTAATATTTTGCACATGGATGCTATATCAGTCTTGGAATGAGAAAACTGGTCTGGCTTAAAGAGTCAGATAAAGCAAAAGAGGATAACGATTCCAGGAAAGGTAAAGTTCTGCCTCTGAATCAACAATCAACGATGGAGTGACTCCTAAAAAGACCCTGGAATACAAACCTGGTTAAAGTTGGCTTGCCATACAAGCATATCTCCATTGATGGTGAATTCTTTTCCTTTATCAGCATTGGGATCCACCTTGCCTACTTTCACAGTGTGGAAGGACTGGTTTGGGAAGGTAATCAGGTTCATTATTTCAAATCCAGCATCCAATTCCCCATTACTATTGAAAGACAAAATTTCTCCTTCTGAGTTGTTAAATGAAATGCCTTGAAGAAAGCGATGCATCTAATCAAAACAATGAGAGTAACCAGAATAACTGTGTGCAAAGGTATCTTTTTGTGTTGATAATCTTTATTTATTGATTTATGCTTTCATTCATTAATTCATTCATTTAAATAACTTAATATGCCAGTTTACAATCCAAACAGATTTCCCAAGTCAGTGAACATCAAGTAATTAAAACTGTAAAACAGTATCTAAAATGTACATAAAAAATTCTAACACTCTATATTTAATTAAATGTAGTCCCAGGCAGATCATTCAACATTTCATTATTTCAAATCCAGCATCCAATTCCCCATTACTATTGAAAGACAAAATTTCTCCTTCTGAGTCGTTAAATGAAATGCCTTGAAGAAACCGATGCATCTAAGCAAAACAATGAGTAACTAGAATAACTGTGTGTAAAGGTATCTTTTCACGTTTATGCTTTCATTGATTAATTCATTTATTTAAATAACTTTATATGCCAGTTTACATTCCAAACAGATCTCCCAAGTCAGTGAACATCAAGGGATTAAAACTGTAAAACAGTACCTAAAATGTACATTAAAAATTCTAACACTATATGTTTAATTAAATGTAGTCCCAGCCAGATCATTCAACATTTTTTACTGGCTTCAAATATAGGAGGAAATGAGAATACACAACATTATACTATTGAATCATAGGTTCAACCGGAGCTGCGGTGGCTCAAGTGGTTAAGACGCTGAACTGCAGGCTGTGAAAGGTCAGTAGTTCAGCAGTTCGAGACCCGGGTTGCCGCAAGACGGAGTGAGCTCCCGTCTCTAGTTCCAGCTCTTGCCAACCTAGCAGTTCGAAAGCAAGAAATTGCAAGTTGATAAATAGGTACCACTTCAGTGGGAAGGTAACAGCATTCTGTGCACCTTGGTGTTTAGTCATGCTGGCCACATGATCACGGAAACATCTTCAGACAGCGCTGGCTCTTCGGCTTTGAAATGGAGATGAGCACCGCAACCCTAGAGTCGGACTCGACTGGCTTTCGAGCAAGGGAACCTTTACCTTTAATATGTTCAACATCAAGGCACCAAATGTTAAAGTTGTCTGGCCTTTAATGTGTTCAGCACAATAACATCATTTCAGTACATAGACATTACCTGCCAAGGCTTGACATCATGACATTCAGATCTTTTATGACCTGCTATTGCTCTGTGGCTGTATCTTGATGAGTGAAAGGCATGCAATGCATGTGCTACAGCATATACAGCATTGTAAATGCTATAGCTGTGACTGGTCATGTGCATTTCAAAAAAAGGCTCCGGAAGACTCTCTAACTTTTCTTCCCCTGTACATAGTCCCTTATCCTTCAACAAGTCTGGTGGATTTGGAACAGTACAATCAAACGCTTGCTCCCAGAAGACCCGAAGAAAACCATCTCCTTGTTTCCAGTCAGGTTTCATGCACTCCAGAAATTTCTGGAAACCTAGAACTTCTTTTGGGTGAACTGTGAAAAAAATGGCACCTTGGAAGAATTGGAAATTTGAGGTCCTTTGATAGGCTGTTAATACAAAATCAGTCTGGGCTGTCATAATCCATACTTTTCTCAATGTTGCTTTTGTGTAATATCCAGGATCTGAAAAAAACATACATGCACTGAATGTTATGAGGGCCATGGATTCTCCATAGAAGATAAGTGTGTTGATTTTGTGATCTGCAAGTGATTTATAAGTCCTGGAAGTAAAAAAACTAATTGCACTCAAAGTGTTCCAAAATAATTTTTTCTCAACTTTTTCTGTGAAGGCCAAACAGATGTCATTCTGGGATAGCAAGGATTCCATGGTCTGCACAAAATGTTCTCCATTCTCATCATTCACAGCAAGAAGCCCAACCCATGTCCATTTGAAGTGGAGAAGCAACCTCACAATCCCCATATACTGATGATCTTCTTTTGGAACCATGCGGTAAAAGGAAGGAACCTTTTTTGTATGCATATCCTCAGGGGCAAAGATCCCATAAGTGAGCTAAAAAAAGGACAGATGTATTAGAGTATAGCTGAAAAGAAATGTGGGGTCATTGTCTACTGGTAGAGCAATCATAGTCCCAAATTAAATTCCTGGCATCTTCGATTAAAGGATAACAAGTAAGAGGACATCTGAAGTAGGATTTTTCTTTGTCTGAGTCTCAAGAGACCCATTGTCAGTCAAGTAGAAAGGTGTATGGGTCAATAGCCTGACTTTACGTATTTGTATTATACGTAAGTATTATATATATACACACACCCCTTGATCAGGATTTAGAGTGCCTTTTCACTTAGTTTCCCACTCCTCCAGTTAATCCTCACAGCAATCTTGTGAGGGTAGGTTAGGTTGGGAGGCTGTGACAGGTCCAAGAAGAAGAAGAAGAGAAAAAGATATTGGATTTATATCCCACCCTTCACTACCCAAAGGAGTCTCAGAGAGGCTCACAAACTCCTTTCCTTTCCCTTCCCCTCCCCACAACAGACACCCTGTGATGTAGGTGGGGCTGAGAGAGCTCTGATAGAAATGGTTTTTCAAAAACAGCTGTGCCAGAACTTCATCATGCCCAAGGTCATCCAGAAGGTGCAAGTGGAGGAGTGGGGAATCGAACCCGGTTCTCCCAGATTAGAGTCCGTGCACTTAACCACTACACCAAACTGGCTCATCTGGCAGGTTTCCACAGTTGAGCAAGGGATGAGAACCTAGTCGCTCCAATTCTTAGTCGTGCATTCTTACCAGTAAACCACACCAGCCCTCAGGCTCTGTCATGTATTCTTGTAAGGGACTTCTGAGACTGCCTGTTTATGCAATCAATATTTGCTGAGGACCTTTGAAACTTTGGAAATAATTAAAGTCAAGAATAACTGTGGATAAGAAAAGAAGGAGGAGGAGGAGGAGGAGGAGGAGATTGGAGTTATACCCCATCCTTCACTCAGAGTCTCAGAGCAGCTTACAATCTTCTTCCCTTCCTCTCCTCACAACTGACACCCTGTGAGGTAGGTGGGGCTGAGAGAACTCTGAGAGAATTGCTCCTGAGATAACGACTCTGAGTGAACTGTGACTAACCTAGGTTCACGAAGCAGGCTGCATGTGAAGGAGTGGAGAATCATACCCGGCACTCCAGAATTGAGTCCATCACTCTTAACCATTACACCAAACTGTCAAAGAAGAGCCCTGCTATATCAGACTAAAAGTCCATCTAGTCCAGCATTCTGTATCACACAGTGGCCCACCAGTTCCTCTGGACAGGCAATAATGGGGCATAGAGGGCGAGGCCTTCCCCTGCCATTGACTCTGGGCTCTGGGATTCAAAGACTCCATGCCTCTGAATGTGGAGGTTCAAGTCACCATGGTTAGTAGTCATTGATAGATTTATCCTCCATGAATCCATCTATTCTCCTATTAAAGCTGTTTATTCCTGTGGCCATCACTGCATCCTCTGACAGCAAACTCCACATTTTAATCACTCTGCAAATTTTCTCACTTTATGAAATATGATAAAAGTTTCAGATGGATGATTACTGGACAAAAGTATGCTTCTGAATTCCTTTATGGTACCTTATAATTCCCCCGCCCGATAATATATCCTTGTGGAAGGAAGAATACAGCTATGCTTTTTTCTCAAAACTTCAGAGAATTCATCACCCTCCTATAAAATCTTCTCAAGGCAGGCAAACATGTAGTTTTTAAATTTTGTGAAATTACTCTTGTGCACACATTTACCTGTGGAATCTTGTAAAGACTTAAGATGTCTGCCATGTGGAAGGAAGTCTCAGATCCAAGTCCCCCAATGACAGCAATGAGGTTTTTCTGGGTGTCACATTTATAGTTGGAGACAAATCTCTGTGCTTTGAAGAGCAGGTCCAGAATGGTACGGTAGGTCATCTTCACATTATAGTAGCTGTCATAGATGTGGGACCCAAGAGTGACATTGGGCAGGATCTTGGGATTCTCATTGATCTCGTTGATGGTGAACACCAAGGCAAGAATGTGCTGGTAGAACTTTATAACCATCCTGCCAACAGATTTAAGTGCTTCTTTTAATGGAGAATTCTACAACCACCAAGTTACTGCACTATACCTCTGACCCATTTTGACTCTCAGTGATTTGCCTAACTGCCATTTGTGACTGATATATCTGAGCTAGTAACCATCTACAGTTCAATTAGGAAGCATCACAACATTTGCAGTATGTGTAAAACATTGGTACATTAGCTGCCAGTGATGCTCCAGTGGTCTCTCTTCACCAGAGAGAAGCCATACATTACATTTTGGTGATGTGTTTTCAAAATAAATAAATAAACAAATGTCATGTGAGATGACAGTGTTCTGCACAAGAGTTCAGCTTTCTCATCATGAACTTGGAAAGTGGGATCACTGAATAGGGTTGTGGATTAAGTTTTCCTCTGTTGCACTAGAATACAATGACACAAAGGTGAAGACTGCACAGTCATGCAGAGCACAGAACCTGTGGAGGTGGAGTGTGAACACCAGATACCATATTTTGTAACAAGTATTAAATCTCTCTTCCTCTTATTTTTGAAACAGAAAGAGCTATTGCTATTAGAAAAGCACCCCCTCATTTTGTCAAAGGCCAGCCTACCATTTTTCTTCTCACCTTGACACATACAGTACTCCATCTTTCTGTGTTATACCTCTGAGGATGCCAGTCACAGCTGCTGGCAAAACATCAGGTCGTACAATGCCAAGAAAGCAGCCATACAGCCCAGAAAAACTACAACTAACCCCCTCCTGTGTTGCAAACATGACACCTTAATCAACACTCAGAAAGTGATTGGAAAGGAAGAGTGTTGGAGTGAACCAAGCCCAGTGATGTTTCTGTGAACTTGCCTATGTCTATCATTATCAATTTAATCTCCATCCTGTCCTTCCCACAGGTTGCTGCACCTAATACTCCACACATATTTTATCCTGGGAAAAAATCCTGTGTGTTAGGATAGGCTGAAAATGATGGACTTTCCCAAAGTCATCCAGTGAGCTTTATAAATGAGAGAAGATTTGAACCAAAGACCACCCTCCCATGTATCTCTGGTCCTAATAGACCAAAGTGGTTTTCAGAGAGATCATGGACAGCAATGTTAGGGATTTTATCTGCTAAAGTTGAAATGGTGGAGAATGCAATAAAATGGCTTACTCTGGAAATTCAAACAGTTTGTCTGAAGGATGCTCGTTGAAAAGTAAGGGGAAAAGAGTGTATGTGATCAGAGAAGTGATCCCACCCAAGAGGAAGTCTCCAGGTTGGTACTGCTCATGTGGAATAGGGAGGGGATCGAGCTTTGCGCACTTCATAGTATGTATGGTCCAGTCTGTTGGAGGAAACAGCATAAGCAGTACCAGCCTCAGTATCCTGGCAGGCATCGTTCTCTCCAGAGGCAGAGCCAGTCTCTGCACATCCGCAATTTCACGGCTACCTTGGATGGTTGCTGCCAGATAACATCTCCACCTTATTTCTACCATCCATACTGCTACGAATCCTTGCCTTGATTTCTATCCCTGATTGCATGGACTATAATCTTAAAGACGGATGAATGAGATCATACCAGTAGAGCTCTGCCCCCCATTTCTCAGCATTCAATGTATAAGTGTGTTTTTATTGTCCCTGTCAGACTTACTTGTTGAATGTTTGCAGTAACCTTCTGAAAAGTAACCGAGCCTTTGACCAGGATGAACAAATTACAGTGATGTGGCTAATTGCTGGAGAAGATAATTATATAGCAGGAGTTTTGATCACTAGTGTCACCATTGGGACTCAGTCCTGCATTATTACAGTTACAGTTGTATTTGCATGTTGGTTTTGTATTTCTCATCCAAAACCGGCTTATTGGAGAAAACCTGGTCAGAAATACACATCATAGGTATACAAAATCCTTTATTTTTTTCTCCTTATAATCTCCTCTTTGGTGTTCAGCTCAGGCCTCAGTATTATAATGTAGCACTTAGGAGAAAAGATACAAACCAGCAAACCAGCGCTGGAGGCCAAGATAGAGAAGATCTCCATGGCAACCATATATTTCCCTTTGGTGCTGAGATAGGTTGGAACAAAGGATACCCACACACTGCAAAACAACAGCATGCTGAAGGTTATGAACTTGGATTCATTGAAACTGTTGGGTAGTTTCCTAGCTAGGAAAGCTACAACCAGAGTGATAATGGAGAGAAATCCCATGTAGCCTAAGACAATATAAAACATGGTGACAGAGCCTTCATTACACTCTGCCACGATCTCTTCATCAAGTGACTGCATATCAAAATGTGGGAAAGGGGATGAGGTTCCTAACCACACTGTACAAATGCCTGTTTGAAGAAGAGAGCAGAAAAGGATCGTGAAAGTGGTCAGTCTTTTCCCCACCCATTTTCTCATGTTGGACCCTGGTTTTGTAGCCATGAAAGCTCCAATCACAGTGATGGTCTTGGCCAAAACACAAGAAACAGCCACTGAGAAAATAATACCAAAAGCAGATTGTCTAAACAAACAGGTAAGTTTTCTAGGGGGTCCAAGAAACAAAAAAGTGCACAGAAAGCAGAGCAGGAGTGAAATGAGGAGAATGTAGGTGATATCCCTGTTGTTGGCTTTGACTATGGGAGTATTTCTGTGTTTAATGAAAATTCCTAGCATCAAAACTGTGACCAGGGAAAAATAAATAGCCGCTGAAGCCAAGCTAATCCCCAAAGGTTCTTCAAAAGATAGGAAGGTTATAACTTTGGAGACACATCCATCTTGGTCCTTGCTTGGATACTGATGTTCTGGGCATCTGATGCAATCATCCATGTCTGAAAAAAACAAAAGGGATAGGGGCCATTGTAGTGGGAACTTGTGTTCACCTTTATTGTGGGATATTTGTAAGATATGTTACTCACATGGCTATTTTTGGGCA